TATATATATATATATATATATAGATATATATATATATATATATAATTGCAGTCATGAATAAGGTGTTCTTTTTTCACAGAGTGGTCTGCGAACAATATTTGTACAGGAGTTCTTCCTGGATTGAAAATGAATGAAACTGAGGTTTTGTGCAGGATAGGATAAACTTAAGACACTCTCTTCTTAAAAACACTTTTTTTCATAACGTCGCCATATTGTTCAGTTCAAACTTCAACATTTTGCAGCGTACGTGCCTTCCTCAGTGAGCCAAACAGTTCCTAATCAAACCTAAGATTCTTTCATAGAAGATTCGCCAATAGGAGTGTTCCACCTGCAAAGAAATCCTCCATCAGCAAAACTCAACATCTATAATAAAATAAAGTGCCTTGACATAAACCTGTTTCACCATTCTATAAAGTTTTCCTAATGTCATAATTTGGTTGCAAAAGCATCTAAACAGTTGGATGTGCACAAGTTCTCTTGCAAGTGAAATAACTGTGATACATTTAGACTAAATTTACTTTTAAAAACAGGCGACACATCCTATTGGAGCCTGTGGCTCCTTTCGTTTTTAATAGGATTTCCAGATTTCCCTGAACCTGCAACCTCAGGTTCTTGATGCATTGTTAATGTCACAAACAAACGAGGGTATACTCCAAAACCTAGAGCTTTTTCTACCTTCTTAAATTCAGGGTAAAGGTAGATCCAGTGACGTACATGAAGTGGCCAGAGAAACCACAGCTGTATGCCACATCCCTTAGCTCGGCTTGTAGGCGGTGCAGCACTAATTCATCTACCAGTTCTGACCAACTCTTCATTCAGCTCGTCTCACAATCACAACATGCCCTCACCTCTGCAAGTGTCTGTTCCATCGCAGGTGTGTGAAGCAGAAAGAGCCAATGAAGGACGAGGAGCAGCCGGCGTACTGGCAGGAGATGGGCAGATGGGCAGGCTACGAGGAGAGCTTCGACCCACAGGCAGGGGTGTGGGCCTCCTCACAGATCTCCTACCTCACATTCAGGAGCCTCATCCAGCTGCGACGCACCATGAACACTGGTCAGTACTAAAAATTTGAGTCAGTAAAATTAGTTTCTATGTTTAAAGTAGTTTAGGGATTATACTCAGAAAGGCCCTAATATAACGGATAACCTACAAAGTACCTCAGTGAGGTAAAGTTTTAGAGTTTCATCATCAGTACTTGATTTTTTTCATTCCTTAATCTACTTTTTTATGCTTTCTTATACACATCAAATGAAAAAAAGTCAAAGTGCTTCCTATGATTCTTTCTGAACATTCGCTTTTGTTTTCTCACCTCAAGTTGTGACCATTTTCGACTGCGAGGAGAAGACTTTAGCTGCCATTGCTGAGAAGATGGTTGCTGAGATGGTTACCAAGAAGGAGATCAGATCTGGAGACCAAGAGGGCGTGCTGAAAGCTCTGGTCCCAAACCGCAGGTATCCTTTGAGACATCAGCCGACAGTGACTCAATTACAAGGACCTGCAGTTAAGTGTTTAGTTCAGGCAGTTAACCAAAGCTCCTAACGAGGGAGGAGAGATTTTTATGATCTGACTTGGAGAAAGTTGCTATTCTGGAGACCAAACCTGTGATTATATGAAACTATCTCTGACCACCAAACCACCTTACCTGCAGGGCGGTTCATTGTCTTGCATTTTTCACACAGAGACTTGAACATACAAAATGGATCAATCTGTATTTTCAATGTATGTTTCATTAATATAAGAAATTGTCTTTGAAAATAAGCCAAAGGTGTTTTGGGTTAGTAGGCTTTGACTTTCAAGATTATTTTTTTCCTGGTGAAAGTTGAATCTGTGGTATTGGGCAACGAATCCTTGCACACCTTTTTTTTTGTTGTTGGTAGGTCAGATTTTAAAAAGTAACACACACGAAATAAACTTTAGGAGTTTAACACCGTTTGTTCTTTGCCTGCAGGTGGAATAAAAAAGACAATTAGCAAAAGAACATCAAATTGACCACCATAACCCAGTTTATTCAAGTTCAAGTTGTGTTTATTTGTCATATGCAAGGTTAACACAGGGTTAACAGTACAATGAAATGCTTAGGATGAGAAGAACCGATTTGACCCACTAAAAAAAAAAAAAAAAAATCAAAGAACAAACCAACAAGAAAAATACAACAACAAAAAAAGCAATAAGTGTACACAAAAAAGTACCAAAAAATGAAAAGTAATTAAAATATTTACAATGTTCAAAAGAGAAATATTGAGCAACAACATGGTAGAATGTAATGGTACATCAGGATGAATTTGAATGAATAAGTATTTCGAGGTAGTAATATAACGTAAGCTAAATTGCGTGATATATATATATATATATATATAATACACTGCACATAATCAGCATACCACACGGGTTGTGTGACAACGGGTTGTTCAGTGTTAACATGTCGGTGAAAACAGTGTCTTCTCTCTGCAGTGGATCGTCAGACCCAGAAAGCCAAAAGCTGACTGATGGAGTGGACCTGCACAAATTTTCAGTCAAGGAAAGAGTAGGTTTCTTCTCTAATATAGCTGTCTTAAATTTGATTGTGTTCATGTTTTTTTCTCTTTTGTGAGGGGAGGAGGGAGCAGAGGGGTTGAAGTGGTGCCTAACATATGACATGCATGCAGCTTTTTACCAAAATGGAGAGATTCTCACTTTTTCTGTCCTTTCAGAAGGATGAAAGTGATCACGTCGAGGCTTCCATGGTGCTCGTAGGTAAGCCATTTCCAGTTTCTGAAGGAAATCCTCTTAAGTCTAGTGTCAGTTTGTGTTCATGCGCTTGCTTTTCATGCACATCTTTATTTAAGACAGTCCTGTACAATTTAAATTGTTTTGTCTTGATTAGGAGCCTTGGATTTCCTGGAGAAGCCCACAGTTGCGTTTGTGCGTCTGAAAGAAGCAGTGGCGCTCGACTCAGCGCTGGAGGCCCCGGTGCCCGTTCGCTTTGTGTTGGTTCTGATTGGCCCCAGTAAGGCCGACATGGACTACCATGAGACAGGCCGAGCCATGGCTTCTCTGATGGCTGATAAAGTGAGTGTGGTCAGACTATTGACACGTGTGACACATAGGATGACTCTGACGTAAATGAACCGTACTGTCTTCATAAGTATCTCCTGCTGAAAAATAAAGTCTTATTTAGCATCTCTTCCAAATGAAACAAATAATTACCAATATGAAGCAGTTTTAAAACATGTTGATTGATGACCAGCATACATTATTTACTAGCTTTACTTTAAATTCACTAAATGACCTAATCATTTCACTATTTTGTACATTTTATGCCAGTTTGACACACAGACTTTACCACATGACACACTGTTTAACCATAGCTAGCCTAAAGCTAGCTTCAAATCATCCTGTATGTGATTTTTAAAACTTTAATATACCCTAAAAAGTAATAATTTATGTACAATGGGCTTATTGTTTGATATAGTCTTGTGTTTGCACATATATATCTGGGTTTTTTTTAGCTTCACTCTTGAGTAACATTCCATTTGCAGCATTTCTATGTCACACAATTAGAAATATCCCAGAAGCTTTAATGCACTTCAAACCTCCAAACATATTCATTTGATTTGTTCAAGTGTTTGGAAGCTCCTCCATGTTGGCAAAAAGCAAAAAGTTATGTGTAATCACAACATCAGGACAGTTTTACACAAAGAAAACATGAACACAATGGTTACCCTTTTAAGTGATTAGGTAATAAATAGAAAACATATAGTATAAGCAACTATAAAGTAAAAAAAAAAAATCGAATTATTTCAAAATTAAATGCCAGCTCTCGCTCAAGGTGGAAACTTTTTCCCTCCCTTCCCTGTTCTCCTCTTCCTCCTGCTTTTTGCTCTCTGTGTGTCTCTTGAAGCTCCTGGTACACATCTCCCCAATGAAAAATACTATTATGGATCTGGTGAGCTGGACTTTCAACGCAATCGAAAAAATCTTTTCAACAAAATGACAGGGTCCTGGAGAACCCTCATGTCCTGCTGAGACTCACGCTGTGGGATACATCATGGATCCATGGGGAGTTTGGCAGCTGATGTGTCTTTCAGTTCTGTCTCAGGGGGACACCAAAGATGTTTTTATAATTGGATTCATGATAGCAGGGTTTCTGCTTTTTGGCAGCGGCAGGTCCCGACATCGGCAGCAGTTTCAGCCATGACAAAACTTCCAAGTCTATGTGAAGGTTTGGTTCATACTATGAGTACTCAAAATCAGCTGATTAACGAGCTAAACCGTAAGATGGAAGCAATTCATGAGAATTGCAGGCCACTTGCGGCTTCGAGGACTCGCTAGCATGTTGGAGTAGACCTTGAAGAAAGCTCATAGCACGGATCAGTGGAATGCCCACAAATCTGGCCATTTTTGGTTCTTGAAAGTACCAGCAGGACTCAAGGCTGACAAGGACAGTCTGCCTGAAGAAAATCAACAATTGTGGCTTATCTGAATCTGACTCCCTCGTTTGGCCTGGGATGCAAGCCAACTATCATATTTCTCCTGGGACATGGGTAAACTAAGGAAAAGCTTCGTCTATCGCAAATAACACTGAACAAGTGGCAATAACTTAGCACCAAGCCACATCTGTGACAACTAATATGACTAATATTAGCTTGTGACACCTAATATTTTATTGCTAATGCATTATGTGGCTGTATCATGTATGTCACTACCTTACCGTCATAATTCATCTCCATGCTACTCACTACCTGTGCAATAATTTGTCATACAACCTGTGTAGTTTCAGTGTTATTTAATGAGAGTTCAGTAATCTGACAGCTTGTGGACAATAACTGTTTTTGAGTCTATGAGTCTTTTCGTGCACAATGGCAGACTCCTGTACCGTCTACCTGAGAGTAGTAGATGGAAAAATCCTTGTGCTGGGTGGGTGTGGTCTTTAATGATGCTGCGTGCTTTACGCAGACATCGGCTGTGGTAGATGTCTTGGATGGTGTGGAGACTGCTACCAGTGATTTCCTCTGCTGTTTGCATCACCCTCTGTAGAGCTTTACGGCTCTGACTTGTGCAGTTCATGTACCACCCTGTGATGCAGCCTGTCACCAGGCTCTCAATGGTGCACCTATAAAAGTTGGTGAGGATGCTGGTGCTCGTACCAAACTTGACATTTCCTCGTCAGCGAAGCAATCTTATCGTTCATGTAAAATATTTGATAATGTTCTTATAGAAACAATTAATGAATGTTGTTCTTACTATTTAATGCTACATGTTTGTCTCTTGACCCTACAACTGGGTAAGATTACAGTAGACCTAGCCGATTACTGGAGTTTTAATTAGGCATTTTAAGCAACATGATGGATGATGATCATATTGCTTTATGCTAAGCCATTGGTAAGAAGGAGTGATTATTATTATTGTTCAATATTGACTAGTGATTTTTTTTCCCTAAAAATTAACTTAGGCTACACTACGGTATGTTTCTTAGACTGTGCCTAGGATGCATGAGAGAAGCGGAGCGTGCTCTATTCACACAAGGAGAGCTGTTGGTCAGGGTACTTCTTGTTGTGCCATTAACTCTAAAATAGTTATTGAATCAAGTGTTACTTATATAGGCAAAACTAAATGTTAAACAGCCTGTTAAAATACACCAGAATGCAGGAAATGCATCTACTTTATTCCCCCCCATCACATTAAAAAAAGCTTCTGACGCCAATGATCACCATATTGTTCAAGCCAAGAGCCATTGTCAGTACTGGGGGCTAAAATCACCCCTAAAGGGCAGATTCTAGAATCGCCCCTGATGTAAGCTTATAATTACATGATTTTAATAATAATAGGCCGTGATCTAAAGTGGGCCACTCTGAGGCATGAAACTCCAGGGCTGAAAATGAATCCCACTCCGGCCCTGAATGTTTCCATCTGTCTCCACTTTCTCCCTCCCAGGTGTTTAACCAGGCAGCATTAGAAACAAAGAGCGCCAGAGAGCTGACGGACGCCTTGGTTGAATTCATCGACTGCAGCATTGTCATCCCACCCACAGAAATCAAGAATGAAGCCATGCTGAGCTCCATCATCAACTTTCAGAAGAAGCTCCTGAAGGACAGACTGCAGTCTTCAGAGATCATGCCCCGCAGGAACTCCAAAACTCGTAGAGGTGAGACTGATCACATATCATCATCAGCCTTATATTTTTTTTACCTTGACAAAATAAACTCAACGTTCACTTCAAAGGTTTTCCTTCTAAATTAAATGTTTTGCTCCAGTTTCTATTTCTAGCGGTTTTCCTGCTGAAGACCCTCTTTCTCGCACTGGTCGACCTTTCGGAGGCATGATTCGAGACATCAAGAGGCGCAAGCAATACTACAAGAGTGATCTCACAGACGCTCTGAACCCGCAGGCTCTCGCGGCGATCATTTTCATATACTTTGCTGCTCTGTCGCCTGCCATCACTTTTGGAGGCCTGCTGGGTGTGTATGGGTGATTTTATTTGATCTTTTTCAAACATGGCGTCTCTGTTTTGTGCAGTAGATATTAAATTCTTTTTACTTTCAGCTGATAAGGTAGACAACATGATGGGTGTATCTGAGCTGCTGATTTCCACCAGTGTCCAGGGGATCATCTTCTGTTTTGTCGCTGCTCAGCCCATTCTTGTTATTGGCTTCTCTGGTCCTCTCTTAGTGTTCGAGGAGGCATTCTTTGCAGTGAGTCATTCAGATTTTCTCCTTAACTGTTGTCCCCTTTAGTCTAAGTCAACTCATTTCCCATTTTCTTCATTCAGTTCTGCAAGTCCCAGGACATTGAATACATTGTGGGAAGGGTGTGGGTCGGGGTGTGGCTCGTCATCATTGTGGTGATCATTGTGGCCTTTGAAGGCAGCTTCCTGGTGCGTTACATCTCACGCTTCACCCAGGAGATCTTCTCGATCCTCATCTCCATCATCTTCATTTATGAAACGTTTGCCAAACTAATAAAGGTCAATTTAAAAAAAAAAAAAACATCATTAAGTGTTACATCTCATTCATTCACATTAATCTGTCACGCAAAATCTGTATTTATGATGTCTGATCCCTTAAATTCCCTTCAGACGTTTAAGGCCCATCCACTGGTTCTGAATTACGACCACCTGAACGAAACAGTTGAAAATCCCTGGAACTCAAAGATGGAAGAAAGCTTCATCTACGACAACGTTACTGGCAACATAACCATTATTTTCAACACTCTGAAACCATCTTACCCAAACACAGCCCTGCTCTCCATGTGCCTCATGTTTGGCTGCTTCTTCATTGCTTTCTTCCTGCGGCAATTTAAAAATGGGACATTTCTTCCAGGGAAGGTGAGTCAACGTAAAGTCTGTGGGCAACTATAGGCTGATTTTGTCACTTTGCTTATATTCTAATTAGATTAAATTTTGACACCAAATCACAGAATTCAAAAGAAATGATTGGCATTATTGGTTTTCATCAGGTCAGGCGCTTGCTTGGTGACTTTGGCGTACCTATTGCTATTTTCCTCATGATTGTGGCGGATTACAACATTGAGGATACCTACACTCAGGTTAGTTTTTAATGGTACTTCCTCTAGTTATTTAACAGTCAACAATGGTGTACCACAGGGCTCAGTGTTAGGACACACCCTCTTTACAATCTACATAGGTAATGTGGGTCAGAGCATCCCTGATGCATCCTTACATTTCTATGCTGATGATACAGTTGTTTATTGTCGAGCTACAACAGTTGCTAAGGTTTTTCAGCTTTTGCAATCCACTTTTGACATCATCCAGTCTCATTTGGTGTTATAATCAGGAAAATAAAACAAAAAACATCTTATCTGGCTGAACTGAGATTTGTTGGCTTTTATTTGCAGAAACTGGTTGTTCCCAAAGGGTTGATGGTGTCCAACCCAGACAAGAGAGGTTGGCTTATTAACCCTTTCGGAGAGCACAAGTCTTTCCCCGTGTGGTTGATGTTTGCATCCTGCATCCCAGCCTTACTCGTCTTCATCCTCATCTTTCTGGAGTCTCAGATCACAACGTAAGTTATTATATATCCTGGAATTCAATTAGCTAGACCTTCAGCATCAAACAGTGTAACAATATCAAGATTTGATTCATCCCATTTGTCTTTGAGCAGGCTGATCATCAGCAAACCCGAGAGGAAGATGGTCAAAGGTTCTGGGTTTCACTTTGACTTGCTGGTTTTAGTTGGAATGGGAGGGCTCAGCGCCATATTTGGTGTGCCGTGGCTCAGTGCCACTACAGTGCGATCAGTCACCCACGCCAACGCGCTCACAGTCATGAGCAAAGGACCAAGACCCGTGATAGAGAGAGTGCTGGAGCAGAGGGTCAGTGGAATTGTGGTAGCTTTGCTTGTCGGTGGGTGTTTGTCTTTTTCTTTTCTTTTGTTTTAATTGTACACCTCGACTTTACATTTGCAATAGATTAAATCATGAACATTTCTTCTATGAAATCAAATGTGCACCTCCAGGTCTGTCAATTCTTATGGAGCCGATCTTGAAGCTGATTCCAATGTCAGCCTTGTTCGGGATCTTCCTCTACATGGGAGTCACATCTCTCAATGGCATCCAGCTGTGGGATCGTATGCTGCTGCTTCTCATTCCTAAAAAGTACCACCCTGATGAACCCTACGCCACCAGAGTAAGAATCCTGTCAGTTCAATAGAAACCAAAGAATACGTCACTAAAACCAGCATGGTAAACTAAATAGACGTCAACCCTCTAATGTCACACTGGTCAAAATACTTGAACATCATCACATAAGTGTATCTGAGCACATCTAGTCAATTTTAGAACTTTTATTTTTATACATTTTTAAATATTATGAAAATTCATGTGCTATTATATCTAATGTTGATTATAATGAATTATAAATATACAATATATAATAAATAGTGCATGTAAATATACATGCATGAATATTTGTAATGACATTTTATTATATTGTTACAGCAACACAAAGGAAACATATGATTGAACTCAAATGGTTTAGTTTTTTAATTGTGCCAGTGTCATACAAATTAAAGTCAGAGTTCAAATCTTTTGAAGATAGCTTTTTGAATTACAAAGTTCATGCTCAATCATCCAGGTACCAAATCCAATAATTCTCAGTCGGGTCATCTGGACAGTTTCTTTTTTATAGAGAACGTTTCGCCCTCTATCCAGAGGGCTTCATCAGTCTGAGGAGTTCCAGTAAACTGTTTCCCCACCAAGCAGTAAACTCCTTAAGTGTCCAGGTATGACCTGACTGAGAATTTTTGGATATGGTACTTGGATGATTGAGCATGAACTTTGTTGCCTTGAACCACTTTGGCTGTTGCTGCCTGCCTCGGAGGAGTCGACGGGAGACAGGACGGCCCCCAGAAACCATCTTAGCTCCAGCAAACTGGTTGGTCCACTTAAGGAGTTTACTGCTTGGTGGGGAAACAGTTTACTGGAACTCCTCAGACTGATGAAGCCCTCCGGATAGAGGGCGAAACGTCTCTATAAAAAAGAAACTGTCCAGATGACCTAACGGAGAATTATTGGACTTTTTGAATTACCTCAATTTGAAGAAATAAGAGTTTAATTCTGACCAGACTGATGAGCTAACAGCTAGTCTGAGCGGGGGACTGTTGGAGTCTCAAAACAAGCCCAGTCTCAGTCGTTCATGTGAATATTTCATACAGTAAATTTATGTTTTAAATGGTAAATGGACTGTAGTTATATAGCACATTACACTACAGTCTGTGCCCTCATTTACCCATTCATACAGCACTCTACTATATCTATACAAAAAATAATCAGAGCTTTATCACTTTCATACACCGATGGGACACACATCGGAGGCTGTGAGGGGTTCAGTGTCTTGCCCAGGGACACTTCAGCATGTGACTGCTGGTGGAATTAAGTCCTCAACCCATAGGAGGACGACTGCTCAAACCACTCAGCCACAGCCGCCCAAGTCGTCAATTTTAAGTCATGCAACTTTTTTTTTTTTTTTTTACGTAGCATTGTATGATTACTGGCTAGCCTTGGACATTTCCAGCAATAGTTTTTATAATATATCTACCAAAAATATTTGTGTACTGGTATTGTAAAATTGATGGCGTTTTGAAGCTATGTGTCATGAACCACTAAGCCATTTGTGAGTTGGTGTTGATTTAAGTCAGCAGCAATCCTTTTTTTGGGCTTAACTTGGACTAGATGATAGCTGGTAAGAATCAAACTCTCCAAACTGTGATAATTCAAAGAGCTTTCTGCAACAGGTAAGATAATAAATGTTAATCTTTCCCCACAATGCGCCAACACTGCACAGGATTTTGCACTGGAAATCCCAAATCTTGCATACATTTGAAGAATGCTTGTGTTTCTTGGCTACAGGTGAGCACAGGACGGATGCACTTGTTTACAGCGATCCAGATGGTATGTCTTGGACTCTTATGGGTGGTAAAATCCAGCCCGGTATCTTTGGCGCTTCCCTTCATTCTCATCCTCACCATCCCTCTTCGCATGTTGGTGACTGGGCGTCTCTTCACCGAGCTGGAGATGAAATGTGTAAGTGTCCTCTTGTCCCTTCAGTGAGCTCATGGTGAAAGTGTTGCTGCTGCTGTGTTTGTCTGATCGTCTTCATTTGCCCGTTATGTTTCAGTTGGATGCTGACGACGCCAAAGTGACATTTGAGGAGGAGCCTGGGCAGGATGTGTACTGTGAAACTCAGATGCCTCTATAGACATCTTCCACAACAGCTACTGCCACTATATGTATTATTTTATTTTATTTAATTAAAACATGTATTTATTCTATTTTATCCTCACAAACTTTTAATTCCCCGATGAGCACAAACATATTTAAGTGGTTTTATATATTTATTTTCATTTCATGACAAATGCAGAGACAGTTTCCACCTGTTGGGAGTGAAAAGGGACAGTGATAACATCCTAAGCTGATCAAGTTGGAAAACATTTAATTTATGCAAGTCTGGAGAAAAATATTTTATGTATTATTTTTTTACAAAAGACAATTTATTTGCAAATGGGCTGTGTAAAGTAGGAGCGTATGTGTTTGATTGAAAAATTCAACTTTTCAGATGGTAAGCTTGAGTTTTGAAAGAAATAAAATAATTGCAAATATATATATATATATATTTTTTTCCCTTTTGCAATCACATTGAATGTATTATTTTCCAAAAAGGTTTATTTTGATGTCTTATGGTTTTCAATCACCTGAATAAAAATGTTTTATTCATAAGCTACTTAATCTGTATGCTTTAATAGAGACAACAAAACAGAAAACAGTGGAGAACAACTGGACAACAGCCAGTGTTGTATAAAGTACCTCAAAGTGATTCTTCAGTGAAAGTACAAGTATCTTACCGTAAAATTACTTAGGTAAAAGTTAAAGTCTCCTTTAAAATGATTACTGTTGGATTTAATATTTTATACCTTTTATAATTCCTATCAAGCACTCAAATGTCAGGTCATATAAAGTGTGTGTGTGTCTTTCTTCCAAGGTTGAACTATGTTTATAGAAAGTGTTTGCTAAGTCTAACTAGTTGACCTTTAAATATAATCTCATAGTAGCTAAAGATAATTTTACAAGTTCACATTTGATAAATTACAAGCAATCAAATCAGGCCAGAGAGCAGACTGATTAACATAAATAAAGCTAGAACAGCTCTTTAATTTAGACAGTATAGTTTGACTAAGTAAAATCAAATTAAGAGTAGATAATATAATTATTCCTAGAAATAAACAACTATTTCAAATCAGTGGTATCACTAAGGTATAATCATGTTAAACAAACAGTGTTAACGGTTTTAAACGCAGACACACAAACTTAAGATGATTCTGCCTTAAAACAGAATCACCAGACCTCCAACAGATAGTGAATTAACACCCAGGAGATAGGTAATAATTAATAGTTATTAATTATTACGTATAAACAAGTTAGACACGAATCATTTTATATCCCTAACGTATAATAGCAGGTTAAACTTTAAACAAAAGCCGAACCAAAACTTATCTGAAATATAGACGTAACGTCCTTGAGGGGGCGGGCTACGTCGTAACCATAGCGACAGAAGCTGAACCAATCAGAAAGCTAGCCTTCTCAAACGAGGATAAAAGGCCGAGAATGACGCACGCGCACTGAGCATTTTCAGAGAGGAACGCAGGAGGCGGTTTGTTCTCAATGCTCCATTTATATGCATATATCTTATTAATGTAACTGTTTGTCTCTGAATATCTGTAACCCATGCTGTGTCAAATAAATCTTTTATACGAAGGGCGACGCCTCCGCCGTTTTGAACACGACGTGGTATTCTATCCACAACATTACTTAAGTCAAAGTCTTAAAGTATCTGACATTTAATGTACTTAAGTATCAAAAGTAAATTTCTTATATAAAATGTACTTAAAGTAAGAGTATTAAATAAAAGCAAATGGTTAGAATTTCCAAAACAACATTTATTGGGTGCAATACCCAGTGACAAAAGCTTGGAAAGTTTGAACGGAACAATGAAAGATTGCTCTTTAAAAAGTCTGATTTTATTGAAGTATATTCATTCAACCTTTATTACCCTTTATTAATAAAGCTGTTAGAAAGTCCACATTGTTGTATAGTTGGCTTGTTTACTGAGCTAGGTTCAGTTTGGTTATGGTTTGTTTCTTTATGAACCTAATAGTTCCTACGCTCTTGAATGCACCATGGCTGTTCCAATGCTAGTGAACACACCTCTCTGTGTAAAGTGCAGAGCTCAGTTGGAGGTTTTTTTTTTCTCTCTCCTGACACGGATGGTGCCTTGTTGTTCAAGCTTGTTTGTGCTTTTCTGGTTTACTGCTGTGTTTAAATACCAGAAGAAACACAGCAAATAAGTCACTCTTATAAGTCACATTGGATGTCTGTCTCTGTGTTCTTTAATGGGAAGACTAGTGGCCAGACAACTTCATACCTTGCTGCTCTTACCAGTTAATGTCCTGGAGAACACCAAACCTCTCCTTTTTAGCAGCTACCGTCATTTTCACACCTATCAGGAATTTACAGTGGCTCCGCTGTGAGGCCACAAAGACCTATTGTAACGACTGATATCTGCATATGCATCTAGCTTGTTCACAGCTGGAACCGCAGTTTTCACACAAGTGGTGGGGAAGGGGCTGGGTTTGTGATGGAGAGTGCCAGTGAGGGGGAGAGAGAAGGGGCCACGTGAAGTCACAGACTGGGAGAACTTTTTTTATTGTAGGAACGAGTAACTGGTTAAGGGAAATGTATTGAAGTAAAAGTACACATTTTATTGAGGAAATGTAGTGGAATAAAAGTGATAGTTGCTAGAAATGTAAATAACGAAGTAAATATACGTCAAAATTCTATTTAAGTACAGTAACAAATTATTTCTACTTTGTTACAACACTGACAACAGCTCTGTGTGCCAACATTAAGACAGACAGAGACTTGTTGCTGTCTTTTTGTTATCTTTCTATGAATAAAAAATAAAGAGTGAAAGAAAATTCAGTCCATCCATCTAGCCATTATCTTTTATTTGCTTCTTCCTTCTCCGATCGTGGTCTCTGGTGTCCATATTCAGCAGTCACCGTGCGAGAGGTGGGGGACAACCTGGACCAGTCGCAAGTCCATCACAGGGACACGAGACAAACAAGACAACCATTCACTGTGTCATTCACACTTAGGGACAATTTAGCGTTTGTCTAACGTGCATGTTTTTGGCCTGTGGGAGAAAACTCACGCCTGCACGAAGAGAACATCCAAACGCCACCCAGAAAGGACCCCGGCCGGGATTCGATCCATTGACATTCTTGCTGAGAAGCAACTGAGTCACTATCCTCGTCACTAGATCATAAATCAGACCATTTTAAAAATATGATAAAAACATATTATAAACAAAATAAAACCTAGCATTCCTTGAGAACTTTCCTTGTGAGATGTCATAATGTGTGGAGGAGGACTCCCAGCCAATACCACACAAACTTTAACTCATTATCTGTCATTTTAAGTGAATCACAGCCATTTATGTGTGAGCAAAGATCATTTAGCTGTGGTGGCCATCTTGAATTGGGTTAGCTCCAAATACCATGGGGGGGGGGGGCTGTTTGTATAAAGAGAATTGTTGTGTGCTTGTGTGTCGATACATAACTATCAAGAACTTTGTGGACAAAGTCCTTGGTGTCCTTCCCGCCAATTCTGGAAATTTGCAGAACCTATTGGAATAAATCCATGGTACAGTTGACTGGCACTCCTAATAGAACTTAACAGTGTTTGATTGCACTGCGTTATGCTCGGTTTTCCTCCAGACTTGTTAAACCTACTAGGGTAGCACGTTTCGGAGTCACAGAGGCGTTCCTCCTCTCTCTCAAAGTCCTCCATGGTCTCCAATAATTAAATGACATATTTGCAGATCTTGGCAGAGGTATCCAATCTGCTTTATATGTAGATGATGGAGCAATATGGACGAGGAGGAGAAATGTTCCACATGCTAAAAGCGTAAGAAAAGCAATTAATCAAATAGAGAGCTGGTCTTATGAATGGGGTTTCAAACTGTCAGTAAGCAAAACCTGCTACACGATGATTACAAACAAAAAGAAGATAAATATTGGAAATTTCTTATTATATGAACAACCTTTAAAAATGGTTAATGAATTTTAATATATTGGTTCATGGTTAGACAGTTCATACACATGGCCATCACATTTAAAACAGGTGGAAACAAAATGTAAGAAAGTAATTAATCTAATGAAAACAGTGGCAGGAAATAACTGGGGAGCAGATAAACAATCACTTTTAAATATCTACAGAGCTCTAATGAGATCGACTTTGGACTATGGATGCATAGTGTATGAAGCAGCAGCAAATGCAACACTACAAAAATTAGATAGACTTCAATCCAGAGCATTGTGGGTGTGCACAGGAGCAATGAAGACGACCCCATTAATAATAATAATAATAATAATGTCATCACAATGTCAGCACTGTATGTTTCCATACAATGGCGAAATTAGTCTCTGCATTTAACCCATCCACCACCAGGTGGTGCAGTGGGCAGCTATTGAAAGCGCCCGGGGGACATTTTGGGAATTAGACGTGCTGCCCAGAGACGCCACGTGATGTGCAGTGACTGGGGATCGAACCTGGGACTCTCGGGTCCCAAGCCAGCTGCCCTGCCTCTACACCATCTCGGCCCCATTAATGCACTTCTTATAAAAACTGGTGAGACACCGTTAGAAATGAGAAGAACAAAACTATCATTAACTTACTGGGTGAAACTCAAAGGAAGTAAAGAAGGAAATCCTGCAGCAACAACAATTCAGAACTGTTGGGGATATAACAAATATCAAAGAAATGGTTTTGGGTGGAAAATAAATAAATTAGCTGGAATATATGGAATAGAAAATAAATAATTTGCACAGATGAATCCAAATAGTGTTATCTCTCCATGGTTGTTCCCAGAAAGTAAAGTAGACACAGAAATTCTTGAAATGAAAAGAGAATGGAACAAAAATGAAATAAGGGTGAAAACCAGCAAATACATTAGAGAGACATATTTTAATTACCTGGAAATTTATACAGATGGCTCAAACACAAAGGGGTGGGTTGGAATAGGGTTTTATATTCCAGAGTTTAAAGTTTGTATATCTAAAATAATTTCTTATCAACTTTCAGTTTTCACAGCCGAAATGGTGGCAGTAATATTTAGCCTACAGTGGATGGAAGAAGTTAGACTGTGCAGGGTGTTGTATGTACAGACTCAAAGGAATGTGAGGAAGCAGAACGTGTGGAACATGTACTGATGGAGTGCATCAATATACAGAAGAAAGGGAGAGATTGAAAAGAAAAGTCAAAAAGGCAGGGAGAGTATGGAGTTTAAGAGGGATATTAGGAACTAGGAGGCTGTGAGCTACACACTGTTGATCAGTAGGGGGCGGTATGCGCCTGAATGTTGTTTGCAATCCGCCAATAAAATAAAAGAAGAAGAAGAAGAAGGAAGGAGTCGTTTGTTTGGGATGAGCATAAACACGCGTGCGAAGTTGGAAATCGTTTGAAGAGTACTCTTAAGTAGCAGCCATTTGTTTTATTAGTTCAGGTAGATAAGACGATACCAATGTAAAACAGTACCTGAACTGTCGTTTGCTTGTTTATTTAACAAGCTAGTAACGACGAGTTTTGCCGCCGTTTCCTCTCAGCCAACTTCAAATCTAAATTTGAAATGAACGAATCAGAAGCTGTCGTATCTGGTGAGTCAAACAAAATAAAACATTTCTTCGGCAATTTTTTTCTTCTGTTTTTGCTTAAACTAACTGTGGCGGCCACAAACATTTCACGTCAGAATGTATGCACTTATTGTGAAAGGGACAGAACATCAGAATGTATGCTCTTATTGTGAAAGGGACGGAACATTAGAGAAGACCAACGATTAATCGATTAGAGGCTGATGATCAACTGGTGGCCCATGGGCCACTTTAGGTTTGTTGGAGGAGACTTTTTGGTAAATAGGGGTGACCATATAAAGTTAAAAATAGCATATGATTTTTAACATATTGATATTTTTTACAATTTAAGACAAATGAAAAGACCACATTCTTGTAAAGAAGGAAATATATATATAATAAATACAAAAACTATGAACTGCAGACCTATGTGATTTATTTTATTTATTTTTTTATTGTGGAAAAAAATTATAGAAGTAAAGCAAAAAAATAAATAAATTAATTATTTGCAAAAGAAATGAAAACCGCTAAAACTAGTACTTTTTGGGTTGTTTGTATAACAACCAATACATTTCAGTTTTATGTTACTTTTGGTGAAAGCTTGAAACAGCCGCTGCAGCACGGTCAATGGGAAACGGTACCTTTTTATTTTTTGGGGAAAATGCTGCGATCTGAATCTGTTCTGTCTGGAACAGGTCCCTCTTGTAAACGAGTCCTCGTGGCTCAGTGAGGCTAGCCTGTATAATTAAAGGTTGAATGAGTGAATGCAGTTCTGTTGAGTTTCTGTTCTGCATCTGTAGGATGGACCAACGCAAACCTCCAGAAGCTTCTCGCATCAATGAAAGACTGCATCCCAGAGGGGGAGAAAACAACCAGTTTTTTTAAAGGAATGAAGTCTCTAGACTGGGATAAAATTTCTTTCCCTCCCTTTTCTCCAGAGGAATGCAAGCAAAAGTGGACAGACATAATTGAAAAGGTAAGCCAACATTTATGTTTGATGACCAAACCACAAGATGAAACCTGGTGGGATAAAGGCATTCCTGATTGGTTAAATTTTCCATAAAATTTCTTATGGCCCCCCAAAAATGTATCTAATTTAGTAGTAAATGACTGAATTGTGCTTTTACCCAGATGCGCAAGATGCGCAGTATCACAGAGCTCATTGCTGAAGCTGAAGAGGTCATTTTAGATCCTCTACACAACGAAAAGGTACGTGCATTGCAATCAAGCATTCTATATAGACTGCTTCGTCTGACATTGTCAGAAGGCATCATCCATGTACTACTTAGTTCAATAGACTGGATTTTTTTTTTTTGGGGGGGGGGGGGGGTTTGCGACATAAAATTTAAAATATCAGTCAAGAGTTTCTTGTCGTTTCACCACAAGATTATGTACACAGGGTTACACTGTGTTACTGTAGTTACATCCTACAGTAAAATGTAAAATAAAACCAGTAATAAGATCTAAGATATGAAGTAAGAAAAACATAAACTAAATATACACTAAGCACTAATAGTACAAAAACAATATGCCGAACAGCAGCACTAACATGAGTCTTGTGTGAGCAGATGAGCACGAATGAACACGGCAACACGAAACAGATCAGCAGCAACAAGAAACAGATCAGCAGCAACAAGAAACGGATCAGCAGCAACAAAAAACAGATCAGCAGCAACATGATGGGATTTTTCACAGTGATTTTTCTGGTTAGAGATTCATGAGTCCAACAGCCTCAGGGTAGAAGCTGTTCCTCATTCTAGTGGTTCTACACTTAATGCTCCTTAACCTCCTTCCTGAGGGGAGTGGGACAAAAAGTGTGTGCTGGGTGAGTGGAGTCCTTCATGATGCAGCTGGCCCTCTTCCTGCATCTGGAGGTGTAGAGGCTGACTCCCAACAGACTTCTGTGCAGCCTCCATGCCGCACATTGATGCTGGAGCACAGGATGCTCTCCACTGCACACCTGTAGAAAGAGGCGAGGACTGAGCTTCACAGACCAGCTCGCCTCAGCCGCCTGAGGAAGTAGAGTCTCTGATGAGCTTTCTTGATCAGGCTGGTGGTTGTTATGTGCAGAGATGCTTGAGAGCCGATGAGAACAATATTGGCAGAAATTGAGTTTATGTTGTATGTCCATGAAGAATTGATCCATATCAAGTATTGTCGACTTTCTATCCTGATTAAGTATTTTATTATTAACCTTTTTTTAACCAGGCAAATCCCACGGAGATCACACATCTTCTTTTCAAGGGAGGCCTGGGAAAGTAAATTATCTGGTTTTCAATTTGAGGCCCATTCACGAGCGAACACCCAAACATACAAGCTGTCTTTGATTTTTGGTCAGGAGCCGATCTTCCACATGGCTCAGTGTAATAGGAGCTCTCTTATCACACAACTGGCCAGATGCAAGTAGATGAAGGAAATGGCGGTAAGGAGCAGTCGCTGGAAGTATTGCTCATCTGCAGTGATGTTAGTAACGCGTTACTCTAATCCACAGGTGTCAAACTCCAGACCTCGAGGGCCGGAGTCCTGCAACTTTTAGATGTGTCTTTGTTGCCACACAGCTGAATCAAATAAGGAGGTCATTAGCAGGACTTCGGAGGACTTGACTGCACTGAGAAGCTAATTCAGTCATATGATTCAGGTGTTTTGGACCAGTGGAACATCTAAAAGTTGCAGGACACCGAACCCTCGAGGCCTGGAGTTTGACACCCCTGCGACCACATTTTTCATTAACTAGTAATCTAACGTGGTCCTCGTTCAAAATCCAATAATCAGATTAAAGTTACTTATCCAAATTACTGTGCGCTACTATTTTAGTCATTTTCTCTTGTACTATAATTTAATTTTATTTCCTCTATGCGTCTCGGGGAGTGACAAAAAATAAGTCCAGGGAGTGACGTCGGGTCCATGTGACAATTCAGTCACATTATCATCACCTGTGATACCCGATACCACGCCGGGGCAGAAAGAGGAGGAACATATACATTTTCTAGCTGGAAATACAGGAACTATTTTGAGTGTCTTGTCAGCAAAGGTACCTCTGTGCTGGCGAGAAAGTGCTGTCTAACTTCAAAAACACCACATCACATCTGAATAAACTTTTGGGGTTGCAGCACGAGACAGTCAAACTGATAGAACAAGCCCCGCCAGGTGGTTTGAAGCAGAGAGCTGCGACAGGAGGTACCCCACCACGCAAATAACAAATGCTTGGCTTCAGTGCAAAACCAGTAAGTGTGTGTGTGTGGGCGGGGGGGAGGTAAAAAACACAGTTGACTCAACATTCCAGTAGTCAATTACATGCCAGAGAGACAGAAAAGTGGGTGAAGAATTTATCTGACAGACAGCTCACCCAGCCAGAGACAGAGATTCTTGCCAGGGGACTGAACTTTGCAGTTGCACCAAGTAGAATTCCCCTGGTGGAGATGATCACAGCCACAGATTCAGCCATCCGCAACAACAAATTGAAAGAGGGTGAAGCAGAACAGCTCAGAATCAAAGTTTCATCCTGCCTCAGCAATGCCAAACCACCACCTTCCAACATCAGTAGAGAGGAGAGGGATACACTCACCACTTTTAGCAAGGACAAAAACATCATCATTCTCCCAGCAGACAAAGGAAGGTGCACAGTGATTTTGAACCAGAAAGACTATCGTGAGACAGTTATGACACTACTTAGTGACTTAATCACTTATGAACCTCTGAAAAGAGATCCAGGAAGTGGTTACATGAAGAAGTTAATAGATTGCCTGAAAAATTTGGAGCAGGACAAGGCTATTGACCGTATTCTGTACCACAGACTGTACCCAGGGGAGGCCACACCTAGTCTGTATGGTTTACCTAAAATCCACAAACAAGGTGTACCTTTAAGACCAATCGTTAGCATGATTAACTCTGTCACTTACAATGTTTCCAAATATCTGGTGTCTGTACTCATCCCTTTAGTTGGCAGCTCAGGACACCACATACAGAACACCATGGACTTTGTGGACAAGGTGAGGGATGTCATCATGGAGACTGATGAAACAATGGTCTCTTTTGATGTCACATCACTCTTTACGTGCATTCCTGTAGAGGATGCAGTAGAGGTGGTCAGTTTAAGATTAAAATCACTCTGAGCAGCAGGACCACGCTTTCCACAGAACAACTGTGTCAACTCTTGAAACTGTGCCTGCAGTCAACCTACTTCACATATGGGGAGCAATATTATAGGCAGAAACATGGGTGTGCTATGGGGTCTCCAGTTTCTCCTATTGTTGCCAACCTGTACATGGAGGAGGTAGAAAAGAGAGCCTTGACGTCCTTTTCAGGGACACCACCAAGTCATTGGTTC